TTAGACCAATCAACCTCTAGAGAGAGGGGGGGGGGGTGTTATTAAGGCCATTACGAGAGTTTACTGACCAAGCAGTAAGTATACTTTAGCCAAGAACATTGCCCAGAGCCAAAGTAAACTCTGTCTATACACCAACAAGCGGAGGTACACCTCGCTGTGTTGGTAAGGGAAACACCAGGAAACACACAGGCGAGAATTTAGGAACAAATCCACAAGGGCCGTGATGAGGGTTCGAACCTACGTCCAAGAGGATCCCAGACGTGCCTGAAGGAAATTTAGGAAGCTTAAGGAACCAGGAACGACAGCCGCAAAAAGTTAACGACGACGACACGAGAATACTGAACAATTATTTTGTAACCCCCCCCCCCCACATGCTAATTAGGTAATCAAAACACTATACGCAATTTGACAGGCTAAATTACTCACCTTTCTCGCCTCAGTAACAAATATCACAGGCTATGAGTCACAATAACGTGGCTGAAGAATCTACTTGAGAATGGTCCAGGACGGACCTTGAAACGTTGTCGTCCCTTCACCTTCTAGTGTGTGGTCTGGTCAACAACAAATGTCACATTTTCTCTCAATCCCGCGTGATAGAACTATCTACTATCTATCCACCTTGTGATGATTCAACTCTTCCTCCTAATAGCACGTATCATTTTGAAGCAAACTTTACTTAATCCCCCAAAAAATCTGTCGCGCTAGAAAATGGTAGCGGGCCCGCGAAATTGACACGGGCCCGTTTTCTGTTCATGGATCCTCTGGAAGGTTATAGAGATTTTAGTACGACAGTTTCATGACGTTGTGGACGCTGACGAGAACGGGCTAGGAACAGGGTTAAAAGCCCCCCCCCCCTTCATGATTATTTGGTTTAACCCGCCATTAAACCTTTATTACCTCTTACTCTCTCTCCAGTATTCTCTCATGTCTTCCTTCTTCTCCATTATTCTTCCATTCCCTCCCTCCCTCTCCTCTCGTCTCTCCCGCAATCACAATACATCATCCTTCTCCATTTAGCTTATGAAACCCCGACGTGGTTCAGTGGTAAAGATAGCTGGCGTAATGACCTGACATACGCATCATAACGCATGACCTGGCTTATCCGCCCTGGTGTGGGCTCCCTCCCAGTACACATGACCCAGTTTTCCCGGTAGACGCGACCCAGTTTGCTGTCCCGGTAGACGCGACCCAGTTTCCTGCCCCGGTAGACGCGACCCAGTTTTCTGCCCCGGTAGATGCGACCCAGTTTTCTGCCCCGGTAGACGCGACCCAGTTTGCTGTCCCGGTAGACGCGACCCAGTTTCCTGCCCCGGTAGACGCAACCCAGTTTTCTGCCCCGGTAGACGCGACCCAGTTTTCTGCCCTGCTATAACGCGACCCAGTTTTCTGCCCTGCTATAACGCGACCCAGTTTTCTGCCCCCGGTAGACGCGACCCAGTTTTCTGCCCCGGTAGACGCGACCGAGTTTTCTGCCCTGCTATAAGGCGACCCAGTTTCCTGCCCTGGTATGTGGCCCAGTTTTCTGATCCGGGTATTCGTGACAGTTTTCCGTCCTGGAAGGCTTGACCCACCTTACTTGCCACAAAGACCAAAAGCACCTTTTCGGCAAACGCCGTAAAATCCCTTTCTCAGTCTTCCCCCCCCCTATTCCTTCCTTCACCAGCTCCCCCCTCCCCCCCCCACCATCTCATCTCTTCAACCACCTCCTCATGGCTGGGCCGGAAGTAGGTCAAGCCTCTTGTCCCACTCCTCCCGAGAGGACAATCTTGTACTACACAATATGCTTCTCTCCCGCTGACTTCTTCGACGGAGGCTCCCGACACGTGACCCTTATAGACGTTACCGCCAGGAGATTCAATGTCCTGGTTGGTCAACCAGGTTGTTAAGACGCCACTGTTCGCAATCTTTACTCATGACTTACAGCCTTAACGGGGTGAGAATAGCTTGAGCTACCTCATCCCTTTGTGTGTATTTTACCTCAATAAACTTATTTCAATTTCAATTCAATTACAGCCTTAGTTTAATTTTGAATGCCTAGAAGTGGGGCGGCTAGTGAGGACGTTGATCCTCGGAACCATCACAAGATAAGATAAGGTTACCTTGAGGTGCTTCCGGGGCTTAGCGTCCCCGCGGCCCGGTCGTCGACCAGGCCTCCAAAGGTAAGGTAAGGTTTGCTTCTTCGTATAGAGCCATTTCTATGTGTGCAGATTTAGAACCAGTAGGCTTAAGGCAGTGTCTGGGATGCTCCCGGACGCAGGTTCGAATCCTCGTCACGGCCCTTGTGGATTTGTTCAGTAGGCTGGGGGGGATTTGAATACTTGTGGAGCTGGTCGGCCGAGCGGACAGCACGCTGGACTTGTGATCCTGTGGTCCTGGGTTCGATCTAAGGCGCCGGTGAGAAACATTGGGCAGTGTCTTTCACCCTGATGCCCCTGTTACCTAGCAGTAAAATAGGTACCTGGGTGTTAGTCAGCTGTCACGGGCTGCTTCCTGGGGGTGGAGGCCTGGTCGAGGACCGGGCCGCGGGGACACTAAAGCCCCGAAATCATGTCAAGATAACATCTCAAGATTGTGTAGAGAAGCACGTTTCACACTGAAATATTTAAGAAGCAAGGAAGCACGCTCGCCATTATCATCACATGTTAACCCATTCATCGTTTTCTGTTGATATTTCTCCGTTCGCGAGAACACGTCGGCCATATGAATATAAACTTAATTTAAATGTCTCTCTTTAATAAACAAAAATGAGGAGCGCGTGAGTAAAGGGAGAATAGCGGGAGGAAAGAATAAAGGTAGAGGAAAATGGGACGAACGGGAGAAGGGAAGTAGGAAAGGGAGAAGGGAAGTAGGAAAGGAAGAAGGGAAGTAGGAAAGGAAGAAGGGAAGTAGGAAAGGAAGAAGGGAAGTAGGAATGGGAGAAGGGAAGTAGGAAAGGGAGAAGGGAAGTAGGAAAGGGAGAAGGGAAGTAGGAAAGGGAGAAGGGAAGTAGGAAAGGGAGAAGGGAAGTAGGAAATGGAGAAGGGAAGTAGGAAAGGGAGAAGGGAAGTAGGAAAGGGAGAGGAGACGAAGACAAAACCATGAATAAGGAAAATAGAAAAGGGCGGTGAGGAGTGAGGAAAGTGCCCCGCTCCTGTGCCAGGTAAGTCCACTACGGGCTCGCCATAGCCCGTGCTACTTGCCCCGCTCCTGTGCCAGGTAAGTCCACTACGGGCTCGCCATAGCCCGTGCTACTTGCCCCGCTCCTGTGCCAGGTAAGTCCACTACGGGCTCGCCATAGCCCGTGCTACTTGCCCCGCTCCTGTGCCAGGTAAGTCCACTACGGGCTCGCCATAGCCCGTGCTACTTGCCCCGCTCCTGTGCCAGGTAAGTCCACTACGGGCTCGCCATAGCCCGTGCTACTTGCCCCGCTCCTGTGCCAGGTAAGTCCACTACGGGCTCGCCATAGCCCGTGCTACTTGCCCCGCTCCTGTGCCAGGTAAGTCCACTACGGGCTCGCCATAGCCCGTGCTACTTGCCCCGCTCCTGTGCCAGGTAAGTCCACTACGGGCTCACCATAGCCCGTGCTACTTGCCCCGCTCCTGTGCCAGGTAAGTCCACTACGGGCTCGCCATAGCCCGTGCTACTTGCCCCGCTCCTGTGCCAGGTAAGTCCACTACGGGCTCACCATAGCCCGTGCTACTTGCCCCGCTCCTGTGCCAGGTAAGTCCACTACGGGCTCACCATAGCCCGTGCTACTTGCCCCGCTCCTGTGCCAGGTAAGTCCACTACGGGCTCACCATAGCCCGTGCTACTTGCCCCGCTCCTGTGCCAGGTAAGTCCACTACGGGCTCACCATAGCCCGTGCTACTTGCCCCGCTCCTGTGCCAGGTAAGTCCACTACGGGCTCACCATAGCCCGTGCTACTTGCCCCGCTCCTGTGCCAGGTAAGTCCACTACGGGCTCACCATAGCCCGTGCTACTTGCCCCGCTCCTGTGCCAGGTAAGTCCACTACGGGCTCACCATAGCCCGTGCTACTTGCCCCGCTCCTGTGCCAGGTAAGTGCACTACGGGCTCACCATAGCCCGTGCTACTTGCCCCGCTCCTGTGCCAGGTAAGTCCACTACGGGCTCGCCATAGCCCGTGCTACTTGCCCCGCTCCTGTGCCAGGTAAGTCCACTACGGGCTCACCATAGCCCGTGCTACTTGCCCCGCTCCTGTGCCCAGGTAAGTCCACTACGGGCTCACCATAGCCCGTGCTACTTGCAACCCGGTCCACACTGCAAGCTGAAGGAAGATACGTGATATCCCACCACGCAGGGTTAAATATATAGTTGTTCACAAAAGGAAAACGGCTTAATAACCCTCCAGGAGAAACCACCACCAATTATACTTTACCTTCATATGAACAAATCCACAAGGGCTGTGACGAGGATTCGAACCTGCGTCCGGGAGCATCCCAGACACTGCCTTAAGTCGACTGAGCTACGACAGGGTTAAAAAGAGTTGTTTACCTTCATAGTTACGTACTGGACGTCTTATTCAAGAAGACGGCACTAAAGGAAACCATGTAAGATCTACTGTAATTGCTTCTTCACGGAACTACCCGACAGCTTCAAGCTTTCCCTAACCACGCTTGTGAATTTGTCAAGCTTAAAACGTTAGTGAATTGACTTCTGTTCTGCTATTTGTTAATTTAAATACATCTGTATTTACATATGTGCATTGATTTTTTTTTTGGGGGGGGGGGGAGGGGAGGGGGGGGATGGAGCCTTAAGATGCTATAGGATGCTTAAGATTCCCATATACGTGGTATAGGGAAGCTTTGCTGTTTTGTTTAATCTCATGTCCGAAACTGCCCGAAACGCTTTGCGTAATAGTGGTTTTCGGTGGTTTTAGCCATTGTATGTACTAGCTCTATCTATAAATCCATCAACTTTTGTATTTCACCCTGTATGTATGTACTTTACCTGAATAAATATTTGTATTTGTATGTGAGTGTGTTCCGTGGCTGGTGTTCCAGATGTTACTGTGACGGGTGACGTGGCTGGTGTTCCAGACGCTACTGTGACGGGTGACGTGGCTGGTGTTCCAGATGCTACTGTGACGGGTGACGTGGCTGGTGTTCCAGACGCTACTGTGACGGGTGACGTGGCTGGTGTTCCAGATGCTACTGTGACGGGTGACGTGGCTGGTGTTCCAGACGCTACTGTGACGGGTGACGTGGCTGGTGTTCCAGACGCTACTGTGACGGGTGACGTGGCTGGTGTTCCAGATGCTACTGTATAACGCGACGTTCCAAAACCTGAACATTTCCATTTTAAAGCCTCTCTCTCTCTCTCTCTCAAATGCCAATTCGAGTTGATAATTCAATAACGCTGTGAAATCACAACTCACAAAATTTGCACACGGAGCTTGTTGTGTTGTAGAACAGCGTGAGAGAGAGAGAGAGAGAGAGAGAGAGAGAGAGAGAGAGAGAGAGAGAGAGAGAGAGAGAGAGAGAGAGAGAGAGAGAGAGAGAGAGAGAGAGAGAGAAAAACACACACAGGCTGTGATGTGGTGGAAGCTGACTCCATACACAGTTTCAAATGTAGATATGATAAGAGCCCAATAGGCTCAGGAACCTGTACATCTGTTGATTGACGGTTGAGAGGCGGGACCAAAGAGCCAAAGCTCAACCCCCGCAAACACAACTAGGTGAGCACACACACACACACACACACACAGAGGGGCGGGTGTCGCAGTAAGGGACAAGGCCAACAGCCGGCCCGTGTGTGAATGTGGAGGTCCAAGCGAGTCAGGCCACCTGAACCCCTGCTGCTTGCTGGTCCACTAACCTGACCCGCACCAGTCACCACCTCCTCTCCCCCTCGCTGACCTCTGGGTTCCAAACAATGATTACGTTGTTGTTATAGATTCAGCTACTCGAAACAAGTTCCAAGTAGCACGGGCTATGGTGAGCCCGGAGTGTACTTACCTAGCACAGGTATGCGGAAACTCTCTTCGATAAAATGCGCTCCTGTCACAAGGTAGGAGGAACCTGGAGTATTACAATAGGCAGGAAGAGTATATCTTGAGATGATTTCGGAGCTTTAGTTTCCCCGCGGCCCGGTCCTCGACCAGGCCTCCACCCCCAGGAAGCAGCCCGTGACAGCTGACTAACACCCAGGTACCTATTTTACTGCTAGGTAACAGGGGCATAGAGTGAAAGAAACTCTGCCCATTGTTTCTCGCCGGCGCCTGGGATCGAACCCAGGACCACAGGATCACAAGTCCAGCGTGCTGTCCGCTCGGCCGACCGGCCCCCCTCAACAGCAGCGATACATTAGAGCGGGCAGGGAAGGAATGACATTTAGGGGTTAAGCTACGGAGGGGAAAACACACCTCAACACACCAGAAGTGCAAATGGAGGCGTCGAGTAACTGGCATGGAAGAGACGGGAAAGGAGAGAAAGTGAAAAGGTATAAAACGAGAGAGAGAGAGAGAGAGAGAGAGAGAGAGAGAGAGAGAGAGAGAGAGAGAGAGAGAGAGAGAGAGAGAGAGAGAGAGAGAGAGAGAGAGTGTCCAAGTGGAAAGGGATATATTCAACGATGACATTAAAGGTGACAGGGAGTAAAGGTGTGAGAGGAAACGCGGAGAAACGGGCAGGTGAGACACAAGAGAATGGAAAGGAACGTGGGAGAGGTTAGTGAAAGGGCACATGGGGGGATGGGAGGGGGGGGGTTGAGATGGTAAAGTTGCACATGGGGGGGGGGGGGGAAGAGAGGAAATATTTCACAGACCGTTTGTTCATTAGCGATGCTATCCTGTTTAAGTCGCCCCCCCCAGACCACGTCGAAGGGGTCGTTCCCCCTCCCAGACCATGTCCAGGGAGTCCTCCCCCCTAGACCACGTCCAGGGGGTCCTCCCCCCCCCAGACCACGTCGAAGGGGTCGTCCCCCCCTTCCCAGACCACGTCGAGGGGAGGGACGTCTAGTCTAGACGATAGACTAGATTTTAGTCACATCTGTAACTCTCAACTTCCCATTTACTGCCAGGTAAACAGAGGCATCAGGCTACAGTTAACTCTGCACAATGGTTTCTGTCCTGGCATTGTATTCTGTTCTAGCCGGAGATCGATTCTGGGGGTCTCTTGACTGAGTGAAGGGTGTTAGCCGCTGCGCTCGCTCTATCCTTCCCTCTCTCTCTCTCTCTCTCTCTCTCTCTCTCTCTCTCTCTCTCTCTCTCTCTCTCTCTCTCTCTCTCTCTCTCTCTCTCTCTCCCTCACTCTCCCTAGGTGTTTACGGGGTTGTGCTTCTCTACTAAAGGCACGAGCGAGTCATAAATCTTTTGCAACAATCCACACCAGCAGCCGCCACCTTGCACACACACACACACACACACACACACACACACACACACACACACACACACACACACACACACACACACACACACACTTGATCCAAGAGCCAATGCTCGATCCTGCAAGCACAAATAAGTGAACACACACACCCATCACACACACAAGCTCAGAAATCTGTACACCAGTAGAATGACGGTCGAGCGACGGAACTAAAATCCCCCGAAGCTCAACCCCCCCGCAAGCACAACTCGGTGAGCAGCCCATGATAAACCATGGCCCCCGCAAGACCTTCAAAGGCACGTGGCCCCAAAACCGTGGACATCTTCAAGAGAAAACTGGACGGTTTTCTAAGAGAAGTTCCGGACCAACCGGGCTGTGGTGGGTTCGTGGCCCTGCGGGCCGCTCCAAGCAACAGCCTGGTGGACCAAACTCTCACAAGTCGAGCCTGGCCTCGGGCCGGGCTTGGGGAGTAGAAGAACTCCCAGAACCCAATCAACCAGGTATCAACCAGGTATCAACGCCTTGTGTTCTAGAGTCATCCAAAGCTCTCACGACCTGGTTGGTGCGTTTAACGTCTGACTTGACATGACAAATAATCCTGGCATCGTTATTTCCTTCAATTACCACTGACCCGGCGACGAGGGAACTAGCCTTGGCATAAGAAGAATTTTAATGTGTGTACCTTTTTAATTCAATGTAGAAAGCCTTCACAAGCGGTTAAGGAACGCGCTTTTCAAAGAAAAGTATATATATGAATATGTGTGTGAGAGAGAGAGAGAGAGAGAGAGAGAGAGAGAGAGAGAGAGAGAGAGAGAGAGAGAGAGAGAGAGAGAGAGAGAGAGAGAGAGAGAGAGAGAGAGAGAGAGAAAGAGAGAGAAAGAGAGAAAAAGAGAGAAAAAGAGAGAAAGAGAGAGAAAAAGAGAGAAAGAGAAAAAGAGAGAAAGAGAAAGAGAGAGAAAGAGAAAGAGAGAGAGAAAAAAAAAGAAAAAGAGAGAAAGAAAGAGAGTGATGGCATCGGGTACATTAAGGGAGAGACGGTCAATCTGTGAAGGATTAACGAGATCGATTGGTGAATCACGTGGCCTAAATCACCGCCCCAGCCCCCGGGGCGGGAAGAATTACCATCGGGAAGGCGTGTGAAGGGAAGTGAACCCATGTAAAAGAGAGAACGGCAGACGTTGTTGTTGTGTTAGATTCAGCTACTCAGAACAAAAGTTCCAAGTAGCACGGGCTATGGTGAGCCCGTAGTGGACTTACCTGGCACAGGAGCGAGGCTGTGTATGTGATGGCAGACGTGTAAACAGCGAGATAAATAGAATGGGAGAGAGGCGGAGGAGCGTAGTGGGAAACATGGGAAAAGGCAATACCCTTATTTGTATACTTCAGCCTTTCTTGAGAAGACTCGAGTTTCTTCATCTCTCTTCATAAGAGGTTCTTAATTCTTATACCATTCCTCTCCATTTGGACTAATCTCCTGCCTCCTCTCATACCAAGTTCCTTTCATCCCTTACCTCTTCAGAAGCCCCGTCTCTTACATCTTCCCGCCAAAGCGAAGGAAAAATTGGGCCAGACAACTGGGTGAACACTGGAGAAGCGAGTAGGCAAGGAACGAGAGCTGGAGCCGAGGTTTCTCTCAGGCAAAATGGCAGGAGGTCACCACCACGGCCAGGTTCCACACCAGCAGTCCCGACCTCTTGACCACCCCCACACCCACCTGACCTACACCAACACCACCCCCAACTCTCACCTGACCTCTCCTACACCTGATATACTCATATCTAAGCCATGTAACTTAAGTATTATACTGTGAAATATTATTTTTGATTATATCATTTCTAAACATTATATTGGCATTGCAATAATACGGAGTAAATAACTTCAACTAAGTTAACCAGACCACACACTAGAAGGTGAAGGGACGACGAAGTTTCGGTCCGTCCTGGACCATTCTCAAGTCGATTGTCGAATGGTCCAGGACGGACCGAAACGTCGTCGTCCCTTCACCTTTTAGTGTGTGGTTTGGTTAACATACTTTAGCCACGTTATTGTGACTCGTCGCCTGCAACTTCAACTAAGGTTTCATCTCACTGTTTGATCACATCCCAAGTGCATCTCGTTAACAGTGCCTGGAGGCTGGCACTCGCCTGGCTCCCAGGACTGGCAGCTGGAACAGTGTCCGCCCCAACAACGTGCCAGACACTAACAGCAACGTGAGCACGCTAGCCTCGTCCCCACCAACATTCACAAAACCCATTACCACGATACTCTTATCACAGTACTTTCAGTGGCACAATATTCCCAAATGTGTCTGCCACGAAGAGCTGCTCACACAAGTTGCTCAATTGATATGAATGCGAGTTATAAGGGCAGTATTAGACTACCACCAGGGAAGAACTGAAGCGAGTTATAAGGGTAATATTAGGCTACCACCAGGGAAGAACTGAAGCGAGTTATAAGGGTAATATTAGGCTACCACCAGAGAAGAACTGAAACGAGTTATAAAGGCAGCATTAGGCTACCACCAGGGAAGAACTGAAGCGAGTTGTAAGGGCAGTATCAGGCTACCACCAGGGAAGAACTGAAGCGAGTTATAAGCGTAATATTAGGCTACCACCAGGGAAGAACTGAAGCAAGTTAGGCTAACCAGGCAGTATCAGGCTACCACCATTGAGGGAGTTAGAACTGAAACGAGTTATAAGGGCAGTATCAGGCTACCACCAGGGAAGAATTAAAGCGAGTTATAAGGCAGTATCAGGCTACCACCAGGGAAGAACTAAAGCGAGTTATAAGGGCAGTATCAGGCTACCACCAGGGAAGAATTAAAGTGAGTTATAAGGCAGTATCAGGCTACCACCATTGAAGAATTAAAGCGAGTTATAAGGCAGTATCAGGCTACCACCAGGGAAGAATTAAAGCGAGTTATAAGGCAGTATCAGGCTACCAC